AAAAAGTTAACTCTAGTAAAATATTCTCTTCTTTACATTTTTTATTATCCTCGTGTTGATATTATTGTGATATTGTTTCAACCTCACAATTTAAATATTCGTAGTAACGTAATAATATTTTGCTGCAGACTGCATAAGAGACGTTAAACGCGGGTCTCGCAGGCTTGGAGAAAAATCTCTATAATAAAATCCGCCCACAAATATCACGAATTTCGGACGTTGCCCAACAATTAATTAACAGTCGTTGGGGGCACTTTTTGTACTGTTAAACACATGTGCGCACGTGTGGCAATATTATAATTATGCATCGTGTAGTATTTTTTGGATGGGGATAAAAAACGAGGCTATAAAACGACGATAATTCGCGATTTCGCGTTAACGGTTTTATTTCACTAAAATACGTACTTTAGAGAGCGACAGTGTTTTATGTATAGAATATAGATACATGAATGTGACGCGGCATTGTATTTTGTGTGTGCCTAAAGACAATTTTCGTTACCACATAGGTTAAAATTGGCCATGGTAACATAAAATTATTGTTATATAGATGATATATTAATACATAATTTTGTCAGAAATTTTGTTAAACATTTGTAAACCGTTATTGTAGATAATCGTAATGAAAAATGTCGATAAACAATAAATTATTAATTCAAATTAAATTTATTATAAATTATTATAACAAATTATAAAAATTATCTTTGTTAATATAATCATGGAATTTTTATCATCAATCACTTAACCGCCATAGCCATATATACTACCAACATTGTAACGTATTTTCTCTTCGAGCACCTATTACTCCATTCAATGTGCATTGGGTATAGGGATGTCCCATTCATGTATATACTATTATCTACGGTTTTATGATGATATACTTTGAAACATTTAGATACATATTAAAGATAATTGCTAAAATAATTGCTAAAATAATAATTATCCAGATAAACATAACGAAAATATTACAGTTTAATTATATAGATAAAATATGATCTTAGTTTATAAGAACTTAAATTTTAATGCAATATATTTTATAATATTCTTTTATGTGATCCCAGATATAATAGCTGTAAAACGATTATTACGTTGTTATCATTTCAGTTAGAGGTTTTAATGGGTTTGGTTATCGCGATGTTCAATCACATCCAAAGACAAGTTACAATAACTTACTACTCAACACTTTCGTTCATAATGTGTATGGGTTGCTGCGGTAAAATGATAGGTTACGGAACCTGGACAATTTTAGCTCCGTTGATAAAAGTAAACTGATAGAGATGTTCGAAATGTGGTGCTTCACAGTTCACAAAAGATGCTGAAATTCTCGTGGATTGAAAGGGTTAAAAACAAAGAGAGGTTTTAACAGAATAAAAGAAACCCGGCAACTATGTGGATACAGATTCGATCCAGATAATATATGCAGGACACAACAGGATGACTGTAGGAGAGCTAGAACAAACTATATAATAAATGATCTTAGAGGATTCTTAATAAGAAGCAGTAGGAGACCTATATCGTCTAAGCATGGTGTTTTCGTGTGGAACTAAACTAAATTATGTAGTACCCAGTAGGACTTTTTACAAAAAAAAAAAAAAAATGTAAAAACACAAGGCCACCTATTTTGGATAATATTATTAAGGATGCGGCGTTTTCTGGCGATACGGCACACACGCGGCGGCGAGAGAAACGGCGGTAAAACGTATTTGTCCGCGGTAAAAAAAAAAAAAAGTGCCGACCACGTAATACCTAATAATAATAATAATATATTATATTTTCTAGCGGCAAGTCGCCGTTGTGGGCGGTCGAAAAAAAAATGTATACAGGTACCTATATTTAGATAATATTATACTCGGCGCGTAATCGATCGGCGGCGGAAAACACACACTCGCGTAAACGATCGTCGGCGGCCGAAAGCAAATAATAATAATAATATTAATGGGTGCAGCGGTCGGCCGGTCCATTTATAAAATACAAATATTGAAAAAAAAAAAAAAAAAAAAAAAAATTAAAACCGTAAATTCTCTTTCGGAACGAGTACGCGCGTCCGTCCCATTCGGTTCGCCAATATATTATGACCCCGCGTACATTA